ACACCTTCATAAGATCCTCCACGATGGTCGTCCTCCGCACACTTGGGAGAGCTTCGGGACATCTTTTTATACACACAGAGCTCTCCCTCTGGACCCTCAGATTAAGAGGTTCTGACGCTCTACCGACTGAGCTATGCTCGCCCTCGCGAATTCGACCTTACCGATTACGATCGATCGATCGAAGAACGTAGCTGAAGCTGACGCGCGTGTCCTTCTTCTGTTTCTCGTTTCAGGCCCAGGCGAGGGAGTGTCTGTTCGAAAAGCTGGAGCTTCAGTCGAAGGACGGCAGAAGGAACATCGACGTTTCGTTGGACCTCGCGCAGGAAGCGTCACAGGTAGCGGCCGACAAAATTTTTACGTACGCGTAAATCTGATACGCTTCGATATTCAGCTTCGGTGCATTTGCGAAATACATGGTAATGTGTACTGTAACGTACTGTGATTCGATCGCGTTAGGTCGCAGCCGTTTACAACGACGTGCACGGATTGATCTCGCGCGAACCAGTCCGCGATTACGTTCCGGAAACGTGGATTTCGTTGATCCTGGTAAAACGTGAGCATCACTTGGCTCTGGCGCACAAGCACCTCGCGCTTGGGCTGTTCGATCGGCCGGTTACCGAATGGCGAGCGGAAACGAAACTGGCGCTTGAACACGTGCAAAGAAGCGACGGGAAGACGCAGTTGGACGTGATCGTGCCACGGGACGACAATGAAAGAAAGTTACTGGGTACGTGGGTCAAATTGTTGCGAAATTTCAATTTCTATTCCGTTGCTTTCTCACTCAGTTAGTAGCGAACTAAACGAGTGAAATATTTAATTGCTATATGGACACTCCACCACATGAAACGATCCAAGGCAGTTTGAAGCAGTCTTTTGATTCTGAAAAAGACCGATAAGATTTATATATATATAATTGTACGCTATTTGTACAAACTTCTATTTATACACACGTAGTTTTAGTATACGACACGAAACGTGTTTCGTTTCAGCGAAAGCACATCTCAGAGAAGCTTTGGTTTTACACGAAGAAAGTCAGAGGCTGCAGAGAATGTGCAGAGACCTGAAAGCGAAACAGGCGCTTGCCAAAGTTCTGAAGAGAGTGCAGGAGTCGACGGTGGAAGATTACAACGGTATCGGGGACGAAGACGACTTCCGAGGATTGCTAGATCCTCCGGATATTATAGGTATACATATGAAAAGAATGGCAAGCAACGTCATTTGTTTAATCGCCGTACGCGACCATAAGACAATGCGTGTATTCCGTTTTCACTGATGCAGCGTCTACAAAGTTTCAACTGAGCATCACTCAGCCAGATTTCGGACAACACGGAGTGGAAGATCTTTTCAGATCGTTGGGCCCGGTCGCTATATTTTCAGCTAAAAGACATTGGACCGCACCGCGATTAATACAACTGCAACGAGGACCGGACGGCGAAGGATTCGGTTTCAGCGTTCGGGGAGACGCTCCTGTAATAATAGCTGCGGTCGATCATAATTCATTGGCCGACGTAAGTATATATATTTATATACGAGTATTGTCAATATTTACGTACTCGAGTTTTTCTCTGTTCAGTTGGGTGGCATGAAGGAAGGCGACTTTATAGTAGGTATCGGCGACAAAGACGTCAAGTGGTCATCTCACGAGCAAGTGGTCCGACTGATCAAGCAATCTGGTGATTTTATAAACTTAAAATTGGTCACGCCGATGGATAGAAATTATTTGAAGGTAAAGACAAGCGCGGGCGACATTGTTCGTTCAAAGAAACAATACGGTTTTTACGATAATCGGAGGCCTGTGTTACCGATTGCAGAAACCGGGTAGAATTAATCAGCAAGATAAGGGAAGCGTTTCGGCAAGTAGCTCTTCCGGAATTTCGTCGGGTCAACCGAGCCCAGCCGGCTCCGTCACCACCGCTCACGTAGCTAAGAAACTACCATGGAACCCGTTCAAAAAATCGACCACGCAGCGCGATAGTAGGGACCTGACGTTCGACAATGTAATCCTTAGATGACTGCTTGGATGTTGTACGATCCACTGGTCCGTTGCAATTGGAATTTCCAACGAAACGAGCGAACATCGGAGATATTTGCCACTAAACTTCGAAATTCGAAACCTTGATTGTAGGATCACGCTACCCTGTCGCAACGCAAATTCTGTGTAATATTCTATCTTTCGAATGCGTAATAACGAAGACTCGGAAGACTTTGAAGATAGAATTAATGAAGACAGGGACGGGGGGGGCAGGGGGAAGGAGTAAAATAAAATAAACAGTTCGATAAAACTCAATGCAATGCTCTTCGATAAACGAACATGATACTAGAATGTACAGTAAATACAGATCGGTAAGAAAGCGTAGCGAACAAAATACAAATGTAAGCGTACGTTATATACACCAATTATATTTTGTTCACGAAAGAAAACAGTCGTTTCTTTCTTTTGCTTCCTTCTCTCCCTGTTACGTCAGTGTGTGAATTTCACTGAAACGAAAGTGTACGTCGCACGATAATTTGTTCCTATAAATTTGCTTGAATATAAATCCCAGGATTTAGGCGCTAAACAACGGCGTTATGTTTGCACGTAGTTTCGACGTGTCTCGTATCGCTTTTCTCACAGTATCGGCCAGACTTATCGGAAATAAATCGACGCGCGTAAGTGGAGAAGAATAGAAAGGCACGATTGCGAATCGGCAGATCGAACGGCGACTTTCACCGAGTCGAGAAACGTCCTGGTACACGATTGATTACGTAAGCAAATGGAAAGAAAACGCCAGTCGAGTGTTGTAACAAAGCAGTGTTGTACAGACTGTGTTATATTATTGGAAAGAATACGCTTAAAAGGGGGGGGGGGAGGGAAAAAGGTATTTTCATCGCGAGTGACGTGCGTCGATCAAAGTCGACGAAGATAACGTAGATTAGGAGAAAGGCGAAGATTACGTCGGGAAACGTTCGATCGGACGAGCGCGTTTTACCTTCGTCGCTTGCGAGGCGCAACGCGAGAATCGCGAATATTCGTGAGCCATCGTAGCCTCGATGCTGAGCGGGCTTCGGCCGAAAGGAGACTCGCGGTGAAAGTAAAACGTAGAATCACGAGAAGAAAGTGAATCGAGTCGAGTGGTCGCCGTCGTTTAATTACCTGATGCGCACAACTCGATATTACGAGCTTGACACTTGCCATTTTCGAAGAGCAAAACATGGAAGAAACTGTCGTTTCACACGTACGATGGCAGATTGCGATCATTTGAACGATCCTCTGAGCAAACAGCTCTCTGACTCGACAGTATTGCTCGCGTGCGTATCGGATGTGTTTTAGGTGGTGCCTAAAATGAAAAGGGAAACGGAGAGGGAAGGAGATGAGCGAAGCGAGTGCGAAGAGAAGAAGCAGAGCGGTAAGAGCGGGAAAAGTAGGAGCGGTAAGAGCGGCGCGCGTACCACGATCTGGCCTTAAATTGATCGTGCGAGCAAGCGAGCGGATTACTCGGTTCCAGGTTCGTCGGCGAACAAGATTTCTCGAGCTGACCAGTTGGCCGGTCACCGCCTATTACTCCGATTAACAGAAACGTGTGAGAATATTGTTTGGTGTGCCGCGTGACGACTTAAAAGTGCCAAGTCGAATTCCAACATCGAACTTCTTCCTGTGTTTCGATATTTGAACGTACGTTCACAGTTCGTCGCAAATATATTTCCCATGCTGTTTCAACCGTGTTTATAACTTCATTGTTATTTTCAAAAATGTCTACCGAGAAGTAAACGACGAGCGTCCGCGCTCGCTAGTTGACGCTTCATTAATGAAAAGGAGGACGAGGACGTGATGGACGTGGACGATAGATGAGGGATTCGTAAGGTCAAACGATCGGTTATTAGAAAGCGCGCGGCAGGAGAATTGCAAGGATAGTCATTCTCTCGCAAGTAGATCGATGTCGAACTTTCTCCTCGACGACGACGACGAGTCGCCGAGTGGCGTAAGAACTCGTCGAGTCTCGTAATCGTTGGTAGCTCGTTTGGAAAAGAATTCGAAAGAGCGAAACGAGGACGCGCGAACACGGAGAAAGGGAAGAGAAGGAGTGCGAGGAAAGGAGGGATAGTAACAGTAGTAGCTGTGTAATGTCAGCAGCAGCAGCAGCAGCA